ACGGCGAAGACAAGCGCACCGCCATCCTCTACACCCTCCTCAGCCAGAACCTCGGCCGCAGCCCAGCCCGTCACCGCTGCCTCTGCCACCAGCGCCGGACCGTCTGCCTCCGCACGCCGCACGTCACCTGCCAGGCGGCCTCCAACGTGCTGGTAAAAACCATCAGCTTCATGAAAAACCTCCCTTCCTTCCACCTGCTGCCACGAGAGGATCAGCTCCTGCTGCTGCACAGCTGCTGGGTCCCCCTTTTCCTCCTGGGGCTGGTCCAGGAGATGGTCACCTTTGAGGTGATGGAGACCCCGGCCCCCAGCATGCTCAAGAAGATCCTCCTTGCTGGCCAAAGCAAAGGGCAGGAGCCTGAGCAGACACAGCCCACGCTGGCCGCCGTGCAGCGGCTGCAGTGCTGCCTGAACACCTTTTGGAGCCTGGATCTGAGCCCCAAGGAATACGCCTACCTGAAGGGAGCCATTCTCTTCAATCCCGGTGAGTGCCCAGCCCTGGCGGCTCTGCCTGCCGGCGTGAGAGCCAGGAGGGCTGGTTACCTCATCCTTAACCTTGATCCTTACCAAATGCACCAAGGAGCAGGGAGGAGGGATGCCAAATAGTGGTAAAAGCCAGAGACCTGCCCTGCAGACAACAGAGGACCCCGGGATTTAATTTGCAAAGCAAGAGTTTGCCCAGTTAACTGCTTTTACTCCCTCAAAACCACAGCCCTGGCATAGCTACGTCCCCGTAGTGCTGCGGACATCTCATTCGCGTGGCCTCGGAGATCCTTTCTGAGAAACGGGGAAGGGTGGGAACAGGAGAAACCTGGGGCTGTTTTCCATCCTTTCTCATCACCAGCTTTTCCTCCTCTCCCTCGGCAGATGTCCCCGGGCTGAGGGCCTCCCTGTACATCGAGAGCCTCCAGCGGGAAGCCCAGAGAGCGCTGCAGGAGGTCCTGCAGCCCCTGCACCCTGAGGACCAGGGCCGCTTTGCCCGCGTTTTGCTGATCGCTTCCACCTTAAAATCCATCCCTCCCGCCCTCATCACGGACCTCTTCTTCCGCCCCGTCATCGGCAACGCAGACATCATCGAGCTCATCACGGAAATGCTGTAGGAAATATCTGGCAGGTAGCTGATTCCCGCAGCGCGCTGAGCCGCCGGTGGCCCCGGGGACACTCCGCGCGCCTCGCCGGGCAGCAGAGCAAATCTGGGAATGGGGATTTAGCCAGACGGGCACTCTGGACTCCGTGGGGAACTGGGCGTTGCAGCAGGGCCGAGGGCGGAAGATTCAGCCAGGCTGCAGCAGAGCGCGTGGAGAAATGGTCCCAGTTCAGCAGATGATTCTTTAGGCACGTCAAGCAACCTGCCTTCCGATGGGATCGCTTCCCCAACGCAAACATTGGGGAATTAGTTCTGGGTGAAGTCTTGGTCTGTCTGTTGTGCCTGAAATCTTAGAAATATTGTCAAAGGACATTCCTCAGGTACTCGGAGGAAAAAAGCTGGAGTACTGAATCTTACAGAGTGTGCATATTCACCCCTCCCACCTTTCGGTAGGTTGGATCTCTTCTCCATAATGCCATGAAACACAGCAGGACTGGGAGCAATGGGGCACTTGAGAGCACCTAAACCTGTTGCACATTGTCCTGGGCTGGGGGCTCCCCTCGCCTGCGTCCCGCCGAGTGACTCCTCCAGCTGCAAGCGCTGCGGAGGCGAGTGGAGCTGGTTTGATGGTGGAACCAAACATTCCTCCCTAGAGCAGCAAGCCTGGAAGGCTTGCTCCTCCTGCCTGCAGCTCCTGGAAAAGTTAGATGTCAGTATTTTGTAAGTGAACGTTCGTGTGGTTTGTATATAAGATACAGTAAATTATTTTTTTAATAAAATGTTTTACGTTTTGGAACATGGTGGTGACTTTTCAGAGACACTGTTACATTTCTAGGGGGTTAGAAAAAACAGCTGCAGGCCCAGCGTGGAAAAGGCGCTCGGATGAAAAGGGCTTTCCATAAAAATCCATCTGCCTCGCCGTGGCGAAGGGGGCGTTGCGATGCGGACACGTGTCGATCGCCACCAGCCGGAGCTGCCTGTGCCCCATGGCACAAAACGCCCAGTGTGCCCAGCAGACAGAAACCTGCAGAGGCAGCGGAATTGCAGCTTGTCCAGGCGCTGAGCCTCTCCCTGAGGGCTCCGGGCCCAGCGGAGATGTCCGAGGTGGATGCTCTGACTCACCTGGATGCAGCTGCCAAGAGGCACAAACGTGTTTTTGCCGTGCCCGGCCCAGCCAAGGTGCCAGGTAAAGCTGCACGAAGCCCTCCTACCCACGGAAACACCTCGAACGTTCGCCAGCGGCCTGGTGGGAGGCAGGGCTGCTCTGTCAGTCTGTCCCTCCACCTCACCATGGCTGAACGGTGCCAGGTGGCTTTCGAGGTGATCTCAGCCCCGTGACAGCCCTTTTCCACAGGGAGGGAGCGTGTGAGTCACCAGATGGTTTCTGCAGCCCTGAGCCACGCAGCGCGGTGTTGAGTCATGGCACATGGGATGCCAGAGTCACCCTGAACTGGGCACGCAGACACTGCAGCACAGGGCAGAGTCCCTGGCAACCCCATAGAATCACAGACTGGTTTGGGTTGGGAGGGACCTCAAAAATCACCCAGTTCCAACCCCCCTGCCATGGGCAGGGACACCCTCCACTACACCAGGTTGCCCAAAGCCTCATCCAACCTGGCCTTGAACACTTCCAG